ACCCGCGACCCACCGTCGACCCACCCGCGACCCACCTGCGACCCAACCCGCGACCCGCCTACACCGATTCCACAAACAAATCGGCGCCTGCGGCGGGCTCGTTGTATAGCTTGAGAAATGATGTTGCGCCTGCGGCAGGCCTCTTCAGAGCCTCGCAGACTGCCGACGTCCCCGCCGCCCCCGCACTCTCATCCGCAGCTGCGGGGTGCGACGTGCACATCCGCCGCCGCGCCCCTGGACACGGAATGGGCGTGTCCTCAGGTCATTTGCCCAATCCCCGGCGCCTCAGTCCTCGGTCCTGTCTTCAAGGGGCCCAGATACCAAATTACAAAAAAACTTTCAAGGCTTCCCGTGTGCTGCCTCGGCTCCGCGAAGTGGCCTCGCATAATTTGTTCGGGCCTGAGAGGGCCCAAAGACGGGCCAAAAGGGCCCCACGAGGCCCCCAAGACGGTCCAAGACGGCCCCGAGTCGCCGAAAGGTCGCTCGAAGACGCCCAAGATGGCCTCAGGATGGCCCAGGAGGCCTCCAAGAGGCCTCCCAAGAGGGCCCCAAGAGGCAAAAATCATTGATCCCAGTAGGATACTGAAAGAATTTTGCGTTCTCACCTTTTCGGATTTCCGACGCTCCAAGAAGGCCCGAGAGACCCGTAAGACCACCCCAGGACGACCCCAGAGGCCTCCAAGATGTCGCCAAGACAGCCTAAGGGCGCCCTCAGACGGCCCAAGTGGCGCCCAAGACACCCAAGAGGGCCCCAAGACGACCTCAAAAGGGGCTCAATAGAAGGAACCTTGAACCGACAATCCGAGCCTTTCGCACCGATAGGCCCCCAGGAGCCAGGAGGCCCCGAGAGGCGCCCAGGAGGCCCCAGGAGGCTCCCAAGAGGCCCCCAAGAAGCCCTAAGAGCCCCCCAAGAGGCCCAAAACAGGCCCCAGGAGGCCTCCCAAACGGCCCCGAACAGTCCTCCAAACTGCCTCTGAGGAGGCTCCCGAGAAAGGCCTCCCACGAGATCCCCACGAACATCCAATAGGCTTCATGCCCACAACGCAGGAACGGCTGCGGGGCGGGCCGAAAACTATGAGATAGAACATGTCGGAGATCCGCGCGGAATTCCAGGGCTGGAACTAAACGTTGTTTTTCGTTGTGTGTTTGTTTTGATGTTCGTTTTGCTCCACCCGTTTTCCTGTACCCCCCTGCCAAAACGAAAAACAAACCACAGCCGAAGTCCAGCGAAACAGCGTCTAGGTCCAGCCCTGCGGAATTCTTCGGTCGGCGATGGACCCCCATCCCTCGCGCGCGGAGCGCGCCAGGGGCGGGCGGGTCCGCAGGCGCCGCCAGGGAGCCCCGGCGCCGACCCCCGGAAATCCGCGCGGACCTCTCTGAGAGTCGAGGACGACGGGGGTGTACAAGAAGCAAGGGCGCTTAGGAGGCTGGTTCAAGTCAGAGGCTCACGAAGCCCCCTGCGGGCGGAAAGACATGCGGGGCCGGGCGTCTCTCTGGACACACTCGGTCTGCCTGGGGCGCCCCTTGGCTCCAGAGATAGGACGAGGAGGAGGAGGAGGTGGAGGAGGAGGAGGAGGAGGAGGAGAAGAGGAGAAGGAAGGAGGAGGAGAAGAGGAGAGGAGGAGAGAAGGAGGGAGGGAGGCCGAGGGGAGGAGGAGGATGAGGAGGAGAGGAGAGGACGAAAGAGGAGGAGGAGGAGGAGAAGGAAGAGGACGAATAGGAGGAGGAGGAGGAGGACGAGGAGGAGGACGAAGAGGACGAAGAGGACGAGGAAGAGGAGGAGGATCCTTCAATCCGATGATTTTGGTGGTCGAATGAAGCTTCTCAATCGTAGTGCTTTCGGAAGAACTCCTGGGTTTGCATTCGTTTCCGGACGTCGCGGTGGGCGGTGTCAGCGGAGGAGGAGGAGGAGGAGGAGGAGGAGGAGGAGGAGGAGGAGGAGGAGGAGGAGGAGAGGAGGAGGAGGAGGAGGAGGAGGAGGAGGAGGAGGAGGAGGAGGAGGAGGAGGAAGGAGAAGGAGGAGGAAGAGGGGAGGAGGAGACGGAGGAGGAGACGGAGGAGGAGGGGAGGAGGAGGAGGAGGGGGAGGAAGAGGAGGACGAGGAGGAGGAAGAGGAGGAGGAGGAGGAGGAGGAGGAGGAGGAGGAGAGGAGGAGGAGGAGGAGGAGGAGGAGGAGGGGGAGGGGGGAGGAGGAGGAGGAGGAGGAGGAGGAGGAGGAGGAGGAGGAGGAGGAGGAGGAGGAGGAGGAGAGGGAGGGAGGGGGAGGGGGGAGGAGGAGGAGAGGAGGAGGAGGAGGAGAGGAGGAGGAGGAGGAGGAGGAGGAGGAGGAGGGGGGAGGAGGAGGAGGAGGAGGAGGAGGAGGAGGAGGAGGAGGGGACGACGACGAGGACGACGAGGACGACGAGGAGGGCAACAGCAGGGGGCGGCCGAGCCCGCGAGGGCGGACGGGCCTCGGCCCCTGCAGCAGGTTCGGGCCGAGGGCGAAGAGCTGGACGACGAGCTGGGGCGCGCCGGGGCGCGGGGCGCCCAGGAGAGCTGATGGGCCTGTTCTCCACCACCACCATAAATTGAAGGGGGGGTCCTCCTCCTCCTCCTCCTTCTTCTCTCTCTTCCTCCTCCTCCTCCTCCTCCTCCTCCTCCTCCTCCTCCTCCGCCTCCTCCGCCGCCTCCTCCTCCGCCTCCGCCTCCGCCTCCTCCTCCTCCTCCTCCTCCTCGTCCTCCTCCTCCTCCCCCCTCCAAATGGTGGTGGTGGTGGTGGAAAACAGGCCCAGCAAAAGCCGCCTGCGAGGATGGAGGAGGAGGCACAGGCACGAAGATAAACTGTCGGAGGTCCGCGCGGATTCCCTGGATCCGCACTGGACCGCCCTCCCTGGCGGGCGGATGCGCCGAGAATTTATGCTTATCCAATTGTGTTTTTTTGTTTCTGAGAATTGGGGATTAATCCGTAACAACCGCCTGGGGACGTCCGGGTCTTGTTCCCAAGGTCCGTCGGGCCAAGACTGATTCATGCGTGCGCGGCCCAAGATCGCCAGAGCCAAGTCTTGACATCGCGCGAGTAACAGCAGGTAGCAACCGCAGCCGAAACGGCCGAAACGCAGCAGCTCCGTAGTCGCCGCAGTCGCGGGGGAATAATCATACATCTCTTGCCGCTGGGAGCGCTGTCCCCCCCCCTGGGAGATAGGACGGGGGGTCCTCCCGTTAGAACCCTGGGGCCAAGTAGCAGTATCCGTGACAACCGCCTGGGAACGTGCAGGTCGTGGACCCAAGATCCGTAGGGTTCATGAAAATCAATTGCTGTTTCTCTTCTTTTCTTCTTCTTCCTCCTCCTCCCCGTTCGCCGCCTCCCCCCTGCCCTGATCAGCCAGCTCAGAATCCCACCTTCTCCTACTCGCAATCGCATGAGTTTGGCCTCTTGCCCACGCGCAGGACGGCGTATGGCTGGTGCGTGAATTGCCGCCTGGGGGATCGATTTTCGCAGCCCTCGACAGGCGGTTGCTATGAATACGTATCTACTTATAGATAATTTCATACATGTATACATGTGTACGCATATACGTATACGACTGGTCAGGGACACCGCTTGGGGAATTCCCTAAGATCGATTCTCCCAATCGGTAACTTTGTTATGTTGCATCCTCTGGGGACCTTGTCTGTCCCGTCGCGGCCCTATCCGCGTCGAATCCGTGTCGTCCTCGTCGGGTCCGTGTTGAATCCGTGTCGAATCCGCGTCGAATCCACGCCAAATCCGCGCTGAATCCGCATTGAGCACGCGTCGGGCACAAAGGCACCAATTTCGGGGACAGGCGAGGTCCTCCGAACATGCAACATAAGAAAAAAACTGCCTCGCATGGCGGGCGCCGCGAGCCCACGTCAGCGGCGAAATGAAACGGGTGTCGTGGGAAAGGGCATCGCGACCTTGCGCGGTTGCACCCTGCGTCGCTCAGTGGGCGCAGACAAGGGAGGAGGAGGAGGAGGAGGAGGAGGAGGAGGAGGAGGAGGAGGAGGAGGAGGAGGAGGAGGAGGAGGAGAGGAGGAGGAGGAGGAGGACGAGGAAGATGAGGAGGATCCTTCAATCCGATGGTTTTGGTGGCCGAATGGAGCTTCTCAATCGTAGTGCTTTCGGAAGGACTCCTGGGTTTGCATTCGTTTCCGGACGTCGCGGTGTCCGGAAAGGAGTGAAGGAGGAGGAGGAGGAGGAGGAAAAACAGTGTTCCCTTTTTTGTTCTGCGTCGTTCCCTGGGCGGCGCGCGCCGCAGAGTGGCTGGCGCGGAAGAGGCGGCCCAGTGAGAGGGTTGTGGTGGGGGGTTATGATAGAACGGGAGGGGCACGCGTACGAGGAAGAGTAAGTAAGACACGAGCATGGGCCCGCAACTTTAGGCTTAATATGGAAAAACGTGGCGGCGGTAGCAGCCACACGGCCGTGCTCGGCGCGCGCGTGCAAGCATGATACGTGCAAATCATGAGGATACGATTTGAACAGCAAAATCAGCCACATCAGAGAATGCGCCCGTCGGGGGACAAACAATTTGCCACGAGGATCGAGCAGGGCCCACTGGGCCCTGACGGACCGAGAAGCTGGGCCCCATGGGCACGCGCACCGACGGATGGGGTGCGTGCGAACCCAAGACAGAGAGGGACAGCAGGCCCAGCTGGCCATTCCGGTTACCCTCAGGAGCAGAAGCGGGCGAGGGGAGCCAGAAGGCAGGAGGCGAGGAGAAGGAGGGGAGCGGGGGCAGAGGCACCAGCAGCGGAGGGCCCCCCAAAGTCGGCAGTGTGTGCGATTGGGGGCTCGCACCGCAGCGGCAGCTGCGATCTGGGAAAATTGGGGATGGACAGACCCCCCTTCAGCAAAACGTGGCTTAGTGACAAAGACCTGAAGCCCAAACCTGGCGGGCGCAAGCCTGGAAAATAACGGCCACGGCGCCTTCTCGAGAACCGAAAACGGACAATTCACTAATCGACGTGTCGCTGTTGGGGGTTCTGTCCACCCCCGAGAAAAAAAAACGAGGGCCTGGCATAGCCGCGTACGGTGCGCCCCTGGGTGCCAACGTAACCGACACTCACGAGCACGAAGATTCCCCAGAGGCGGCACAGCACGAGGCCCACGTCATTTACATGCAAGAGCACGTAGGCTCAGCAAACGGGCGACACGCAGTAGGAACCACCAAAGACTCCACATCAAAGCAACATCCACGGGCGGGGCACCACATGGCCACAGCGAGCTGCAGCAAAACTGCGACGACTGAACCTAGGCGAAGCTAGGATTTGCCAGTGCGAGCTGAAGCAAAACAGCGACGACCGAACCGAGGCAAGCCAGGATTCAGCCAGTTCGAGCTGCAACAAAACAACGACGACCGAACCTAATCCTATCCAGAATTTTGCGGCTGGAAGTAGTCGAGCAAGCCCTCTGCCCTGCCGTCGACCGCGTTCTGAATGGTCTCCTCCATGGCGCCTTGCGGAGACGCGCCCAGCGCCCTGCGAGCCCCGACCTCGGCCAGTGCCTGTTGGGGCAGGCTGCGGACGAGCGCGGGCGAAGGCAGAGGCTGCGCGTCGGACTGGGGCGGCGGCTGGCCCATCGGAACTGCCCTCAACATCATGTGCGCCTTGCGCTTCGACGGGTCGAAGCACTTCATCGTGCGGAAGAGGCAGGGGGCAAGGCGCAGCTTGTCTGGATGCAACTCCACCCATACTTGGGCGCGTCGCACCTCGAGCAGCGAGCGCGCCCGTCCCGGCGCGACTCCACGCCCGGACCATTTGGCGACAACCACATTGAAGATGCGCAGGTGAGGAGGGCCCAACTGGCGGCCGTCCCTGCGGGCTCGGGCTTCGCGCGAATACGTCGCCCCCCTCCTTCCTGAGCCGCGCCGATCTCTGGGGCGCCCGCGCCGGCGAAGGACGCGCCCGCCCCCGCCGCCCACAGGTCGCGAACCATCTGCGCGGCCAAGAGGACCTGCTTGAGGAGCGCGTCGCTGGGGCCCGCCTGCTTCTCGTTGAAGCCTATGCCCTCTCTCTTGCCGAAGCGCCTGTTGCGTTGCTTCTCGTCGCCCCAGTCGAGCTGCTAGCCTCCTGCGACGGCGAGTTGTGCCCCAAATGCCGACGACGCTGCGCCGCCCCCGCTGGACTTCGCGGGGGGCTGGCGTTGCCCGCGGGGGGGGCGCCGTCGGCCTCCTGACCGGCGGACACCCGCTTGGGCAGCTGCCACTTCGGCGTCGCCATCCCTCGGCGCAGCCGACCACCTGCGGACCTCCCCAAATCCTGTCAGTCACCGCCAGGGCAAGGCGGGGCGGGCGCTGTCCCGGGGCGACCCAGGCACAGCACCCGCCCCGCGACCCCGGCGCGAAAGGGAAGTGCAGCACGCAGATGCGCAACTGGAGCTGAGCCAAATCGGCGAAGGAGTCGAGATTGCAAACGGGGCGCTCGAGCCTGGGAAGCACGACGGGGCGGATGGCGCGGGCCGTCTCGGCAGCGCAGAACCCTCGACGAAACGCTCGGCAGAGGTGGGCCTTGGTAGTTTTCTGGAAAGCGGGGGATGACCGACGCTCTGGGCACTCGTTAGTGAAAACGCATCTAGCGTAGCGCGGCGGTCCTGGAGCAGCGCAGGGGAGTCCTCGAAGCCGAACTCACCAAACAAGAGAGCGACGACCTGGTGGCGCTGGTCGGGCCAGCGGATGATGGCCTGATCCCCGCGGACCCTATGGGTCAGGCGCCACGTGCATCGGGGCAATGCCCATCCACTTCCAGACTCGACGGCCCCCCCAAGAGTCGGGGTGGGCCCCCGACAGATCGCGCGCGGCACCCTCCGCTATGCAACGAAGTTTGTGGAGCAGCGCAACATCTAACTGGGCCTCTTGGGCCTCCATGAAGAGATTCGGAGCGAGGCCAGACATCTAGCGCACCTTGCACAACAAGCATGACGACCAATCTCTTCACCATAAACGGGGCCCCGAAGGCCCGAACGCCGCAGAAAATTAGATGAGAGCCAGCAGCGATCGACCACTTGTTTGCTCGGGTGCAACTGATGGGAGAAAGCTCCAGACGGTAAGAACTGGGGCCCGAGGCAACGCGCGCGGGGGCCCACTCTGGCGCCACCGACCTCGGCGGAGTAAAACTTGCAACTGGCGTCGAACCCGCAGAGGCGCGGGGCCAGGACCTGCTTTTCGGCGTGCTGGCGGTGGCCGGAGGGAGTCGACCGATCACCAACGAAGGGTCGAGAGGCATGGGCGACCGAAGCGGCTTCCGCCAGGGGGCCCGAGGCCAGGAACAAGAAATGAGCCAAGTCGTCCTCGCACTTATCAAACAGGCCGCCATCGAGCTGGGGGTCTCTGCCCTGGCCCAGCCATTGCCGGCGGGGTCGAGCAGAGTCCGCGCGAAACTCGCCAGGGGCGCTGGGGCCCCCCGCCAGGGCCCCGCTTTGGAAGTGAAGACGTGCATGCTGGTCCACGCCATCTATGTGTGAGACGTGCGCGGTGCGCCTGTCGACAAGAAGATCGGCGCCCGCGG